TGCTCTTCCACCCTTGTAAAAAAGAACTATTATAGTGCAGTGAACTAGTAGTTCTTTTTTACACTACTGAAATGCTGGTATAGCAGTGACACTACTACATTTCAGTAGTGTTTTCACTGCACTAGTAGTTCTTTTTTACGAGGGGCATAATTTTTCTTAACATTCTGTCCACTGTTACAGAAAGAATTTGCTCATTGGGTATAATTTTTTGTCTAAGACATACTTTGAGAATACTTTCAGATTTAATACGAATATAAATTAAGTACATCATTTTTTTGCATAATGAATTTTCCAACAAAGTACTGCATAAGTGATCACGTGCATACAAAGTATCAAAAAGCCAAGTATTATCAGAATTACATAAAATGACATTGTTGGCACATCCATCATTTCGAGAATTTTTTTCGACGAACGCCAGTGACAATAGATTTCAGAGCATGATAGATTTGGTCGGTTAAGATAGACCGCCTGCAATAATCCTTCAAATGCATATCTGCAAGAAAATTTTATGTTAAATGAAAAAATATAATAAATTGACAATATAATAAAAGCATGTCTCTACACATAGAAACAATAACTCTCGATAAATAATTGTTACAAAATATTATAACAATTTATATAGATTATATCCAAGTAATAATATATTTAAAAGCTAAAAACTTTTTCTTAATAGCAGTAAGTTGTAGTTTAAAATTATCTGTACCTGAAACAGCTCATATAGCTGAAAGGCTTCAGATACATGGGCATTTGTCCTAATTTCAAGAAAAATCCAGCAACCAGCATTAATGGTATTATGGTTGCCGGTATTAAAAATACACCTAACTAAAATAAATTAAATTTAATCATTATCTTCTCATATTATATAATCAAATTGAAATTTATGATGCTTGATCAAATAAAAAAAATTATTACTGTATCATAAGTAAATCATCTAATAATTTATTAATTTATTGCTATTATATTAATAATTATAGTCGTGGCATTTTTCAATATGATATTGTAATGTATAATTGAATTATTATTAGCCTCTATCTTGTAACTTTTTCAATAGCGTAAACATTAATTAAAATAATAAAAGATATTGTTTCAAATACCTCAGTACCAAAAACTGTGCCTATGAGTATTCCGACTGTTTGTCCAAGAATTGTAGTTAATAAGCAAACGCCCCACGACTGTAAAATTCTATCATATTCCATTGGTTGTCCTGTCATATAGTATGCTATAAACAGGAAAATTGAGGTGCAAAGTATCTGGAAATTAAACGAAATTTTAATTGATTTAAAAAGTAATGACAACTTATTTAATTACAATCTAATATTTAGTCAAAATTTTATCTCTGAGAGAAATAATTAATAACAATTTTGTAATGTTAAATTAAATCATACCTGCATTGGAAGATCCGTTAATACTTTTATGCTATAGTAGGATCTCAAAGAGTACCAGTTATTTAAATGTTCCTGCAGGAATACTGCCGCTTCTGTAGGAACTACAATCAGATGCGTTTAATGCGATATATTATTTATTATATTCATAAGATATATTTTTCATAATATTAAATACGGTAGGAGAATATTATCAAAGAGATATTTTATTAATTTCTTAGAGTTATGAAAAAAAACATAACTTAGTAATTTGTCAACAAAATTAAATAAATTATAGATGCACTACGTTTATAAAAGAAAAATCTCATTTACTCGTTAGCACTGCCGGCATAGAATTTGCAAAGAATAAATATAACAGGAAGAAAAATAAGCAACCAACGTTGCTGTCCGCTTTTCCCGCGTCGTTACCGAAATTATAGAAAACTGCTCCTAATAAAAGCGCGACTACGATGTGCCCCGCAAGTCTTAATTTTGTCAGATTCTAAAAGATCAATCAAAACAATAATATTTCGATTTTCTAAGCAAATTGTTCTAATATTACTTTCGAAAGTTTCTATTCACAGTATCTCGCTTGATGCAGATTAGAGCACGTGAAATTAAAGCCTTCTGCTGCTGCCACGTTGACTTTTTTTGTATTATGCTCTTTGTAGATGTACCTGTATCGTCTGTTTTATCTTTTTCCGTGGAATTAGCCAGTGAATCCAACTCTATAAAAAAATCGATTAATTATTAAGAGTTATTGATAATGATTGAAAAATTGTTTTCATATGCTGTATATGAATTACCTTGTTTTGTATTTTTATGCTTTTTAAATGATATTAATTTTATATTGTACAGAAGGCCTTGTGTTTCAAATTTTTATAATTTTAAATTTCTGTTAAAATCTAAATTTTTGTAGAGAATGCAATAAATATTTAACGAATAAAATACCAACGCTTTTATTATATTCAATTATTGCCAAGCAAGATAAAAGAACATCCCATAAATTAATAAAGTAATTATTAACAAATGTTATAGTGTATTGACAGAATGAAACAATTAAGTATAAAACATTATGTAATTAAATATAACATATATTTACCATTTTCATTATGTTTATTTTGTGATCTGAACTTTTTGTATTCATCACGACAGACATTGTATAGATTTTCTAAATCTCCACCTCTCTGCTCGGTTATTACCTCAAGCACTGTAATCAGAAGAACACAATTAATATCGCGATTGTTCTTTGTTTTTTAATAATGTATTGTTTTTAAAGCATTTTAATTTTTAATTACATTATTAAATTATTACATTATACACGTTTAATTTCTAGTTCTTAATATTAAAAAATATGTTTGAAACTTAGCTACGTATTAAAATATATCCATTACGATTTAAATAAATTTTTAAGTAACGCAATACTTTTTATGGTAAATTTTAATACAAATATTTTTTTTTAAGAGTGAATTTCTCTAAAGATTTAAGATAATAAAGTATTATTAAAATAATAGTATTACATAAATATTCATAATTTTTATTGTAAAAGCTTGTTAAAATACTAAAAATTAACTTAATTATTTCGCTATTTTCCAAAATTAATTTTACAAAATGTATCTTTTTAATAAATTAAAATAATTTACATTTCAATATTAATAAGTAGAAATCCATTCTAACATTATAAAAAAAATATTTAAGGAAAGTGCGTACAGCTCTGGTCTATGTCAATTCTCTTTTCTTAATTCTTCTTTTTTCTCGTAATTCTTTTATTAAATCGGCTCGGTAGAATTAACTTTACCAAATTCAGCTATATTGTAAAAGCTGGGACACGTGAACCCGGCAATGCTATATACGTTCAAGATCTCGCTTTTTGGACCGCAATACATGCATCTGCCTCGAGCAAGTACCATAATGTCATCGAAGAGTGAAATCATCTGACTGTTGGGTTGATGTATCGCACAAATCACAGTGCAGTTTGCTCTTGCCATATTGTGCAGCATGTTGACAAGCTATAGTCAATGCAAATCGTACATTCTGATAGAGCATATTAAGAGTAAACTAAAATTAAACGATATTGCAAAACAATTCATTATACATTCCAGCTACGTTGTAATGTAACTGCAATGTTGCTGGTGTGTTCTACATCTATAGAGAATTATTAGCAGAATATCACAAAAGCGATAAATATCGACTTATAAAAGTTATTATCAAATAATTTCTTTGTAAAAACGACCGTTAATTAATTAATTAATAACTGCATTAATAATTTACATACCTGATTAGAGGCCACACTGTCGAGACCGCTTGTTGGCTCGTCTAATAAGAAAACGGAT